ACTTGATTATAGTAAAGAAAAACTAATTCCTCTTTTTATTTTTATTTTTTATTTTTTTGTATTAAGGTAACCTCTTTGGTCTTTTAACTTTTATTAATCACTTATTGGTATTGTGGTTTAATGAACCACTACAGAAGAGCATACAATTGGCTATATGTATAACTTTTCTATATTACCTATTTAAGGAGTCCATCTGAAGGTTCCTTACTAATTGCCATATCTAACATCCCTGCTTGGGTGTTCTACTTTAAACACTCTGAACCTGTAACCTGTGTTAACATCACTAGGTTATCCCAGATGTCCTGATTATTATCTCAACCTTAGGACTAATTTATCCTTGAGGTAAACCCTCCAGAGCCTTCTGTATTCATTTTTACAGCTGATCTAGGTATCACTATAGCAGAACCAACATTTGCATTTAGGGCTAACCATTAAACTGTTATGCTCTTATAGAGTTTGCACAAACCTCAGCATCTACTTTACAGCAAATCGAAATACTTTAGTATATCCCTGCTGATTCACAAACTCCTAATTCAGATAGCTTGATATGACTTATGACTAGTTCATTGATATATCAGATTGGCCCGATATTCTTTTCCTCCAGCTTGATCTGGCAGCCTAGTTGATGGTACTTCCCATCTAAAGATTTTTGCCCATTCAGCTACTTTGACCTTGGTATCTATTTCATAAGGCTAGCCTTTACAGTAAGGCCATCAAAGATCTGACTATTTCTATACTCAGGTCTTTTCAAATAGACTTCTTGTTACCCAATTTTAACAGATTTACATGGCCACAAGGACTTATCTAGTGCTTGCACTACCTAATTGCTAGTTTGCATTCCTTCATGTAACCACAACCTTGTCCTAAAGGACAATGTCATGTGACCTATTACATGAATGCTCCATGACCTATCAGTTATGCTAGTATGACTACCATTACAGGTATTCTAACCCAATTGTTAATAACAGTTGTCATAATATGAATATTATATAGGTGATTATCCAAATTTTTGCTATCGATGGGATTTGAACACCCAACCTACCACTTGGGAAGTTGACAACCTGGCCACTTCACTAGGTTGCCACACCCCTGTAGTTAAAATTATTTAATTATATATAATTATAATAGTAAATATGTTTTAAAAAGAAGCTAAGTATTTGAAGATGTAAAAGGAGAGATAGGTTTAATCCTGCTAACCACAGATTATAACATAAGTCTGGATCATATAGTGTATTGTAAGATGAGTCTTGTTTTTTTTTTTTTTTTTTTCCTCTCTTAAGCAGTCATGCTAGTACTTTATTAAGATTTTGAAATTACATTTGCAATTACATAAATATTCTTAACAACTAAGTCTAGCATTATTTGGCCACTTTAATAGTATCTAAGTGCAACTTGCTGCATTATTTTAAGCAAAAGTAAGCTACTTGTCTAACTATTTAAAGTTCATAATAAAAGGGTCTTCTTTCTTTACAACAAGTTCTAAAATTGTCTTTTGTGTTTCTGTTTTGATTTGTTCTTCTTTTTCTCTTATTTTCTCTTTCTTTTCCTCTATTTTTTGCTGATTTGCCTTTTTTTCTTTACATGATCTCACCTTTTTTTTTTTTCTTCTTTTTTTAACCTACTCATTATTCCTACTTTCTTTTTCTATTTACTGATCTTCTTACATCAGACTCTCTATGCTTGTTCATAAAATGTATTCCAGACTGTATTTGCTATTACACTTGCAAACTGCTGTCTTGACTTTATGTTTAGGAGCTGCTGTAATCTATTTTGTGCTTCTTTTAGAATCAGGCCTTTAATTAGAGCCTCTCTTATTCTTATTTCTTCTGTTTTAGTTTTACTGAAAAGCACTATGTATAATATATATAGAGGAACTTGGATTTTTTTCTCTTCATTAAGTTCTTTTTAGGCTGTTGCAATGGTCACTTTTTGTATTCTTTTCTATAATGCTTCAAGTCACTTCTTATCAAATGCACCAAATTTGGTTAGATATATTCAAAATGCATCAAATTTGGTTAGGTATATTTAAGATTTGCCAAATTTTGCTTTGACAAGATATAAATTTTTAACATGCCAATATAGACAGTTAATAAATTTAAAATATTAACATTTTTTCTGAAAAAACTAAAAAATTAAATTGATTTTGTTTCAATTGTATAAATAAATAAATTTTTATTTGATTTGCAGAAGTTATAAATAGTAACAGATTACAAAAGATTATAGTTTACAGTATAAATAAAAATTAATTTCACATATTATTTTGATTACTTGTATATATATAATACTTGTGATTATTTTAATTATTTATGCATTATACTTAGATTACATTGTGTATTATTTCAGATATATTATTTTAGTGGCATATAGTAGTATAGTCAAAAATACAAAAGAAGTTATGTAGAATTAAAAAAAACAAGCATATGTATAACATTAGGATGTGTGATATATTATATAAATCAAAAATATATGTGATCATATAATAAAATTTATTAATGAAGTTTTTTCGATAGAAATAAATTTTATAATTATTATTAGAAAAATTTAGATAGATGCATAGCACTAATGGCTCAACAGGTTTAAATAAAATTTTTAAAGACCAGTATTATGTTTTTACAAACAAAACTATAAAGCTATTTCTTTAAAAAAGAAACTAAATAAAGTTTTTTTTACTTGACTTTTTTTAAGAATAAAAAAAGCATATATATAGTATATTGAAATTTTTTCACATTAAATAAAAAAAATAGCTCTATAGTTTTGTTTGTAATAATATAATAATGGTCTTAGTAAAATTTTATCCAAAACTGTTAAGCTGTTAACACTATCCATCTATTTAAATTTTGCTAATAATTATTATAAAATTATTTCCTATCAAAAAATCTTTATTAATAAATTTTATTATATGACTACATATAGTTTTAATTTAATATATCATGCACTTCAACATGTATATCTAGAGGTTATACTATCTGTGGATATTTAAGGTTTGGGTTAGGACTATACTTTATATTGGCACATTATGATTAGAGTTAAAGCATAGGTTTATATGAATAATTCAAGTGTTAATCTAAAGAGTTTAATCAACTACAATATGCATGAGCATAATAAATACTTATTATCATACAACTAAATTTATTTGCCTAGCTATACTTTATATAGAACTTAATAGAATTTGAGTTATTATAATTTAGAATTATACAGCAATTTTTAAATTTATTAAACATGCATTATTTCAAAATATGTATTGATATTATTTATTTTTAAATTAAATATGCCAAGCCAAGTTTTTATCATATATACTTATTATCTAAACTGTCCTAACAATAATAAACTTTCATGATAATTTAATATCTAAGTTTGATTAAAGTGTAACATATGCCAATATATATAATATACTATATACAATAAAACAGTAAAACAGTTTTAATTAAAGACAAAATATAGATTTTTTTTTTAGTATTACTTATTTAAACTTATACAAAACCAATAAGTAATTTCTATTTTTTTGACTCACACTATTAGCATTTATTAATCTAACTCTAAATTAATTTTATTAGAAATGTGTCTATGAAAATATTATTTATATACAGTATATTCTGCTACCTAACCAGTAAGTCTATGTCTATAAACATCTATATAGTGCTATGCTTTTTGTACAAAATGATGTATAGTTATGAATAATACTAAATCAAGTGCTTTAGATACAGTAACTTGTAATCTAGCCTATGAATAGTTACAATGTTCACATGAATAATGTTTAGCAGCATCCCAGTATCATTCAATAAAATTTAGCTCACAGTAAAACTTGAGGCAAAATATACAAACATGTTCTTGTTCAACAATAAGTTTCTCTAATGCAGATTTTTGCATAGTAAAATTAGGCTGTGCAGACAAAAGGTGACATGCATAGCAATTAGGCACACTTGGATCATAATAGTTATTTTTATATTTTAGTCTTAAACCACTAGCAGGCCACAAGCTTTATTCAAGAAGTATTTGTTTAATGCTCTTTGGCTAATCACAGAAAATATAATTAGAATTACTAGGAAGAAGGTTTTTAGAAAAAATCATTTGCTAAATAACTTGTTCACCTTGTTCATCAATAAACCATCTATTGTATAATCTTGACTGTTTACTATCAGAATAAAGGTTTATCTTCTTAGCATATAACATGTTACTTGCAAAAGCATTATGATTGGTGCTATTGTCAAATGCAAAAACACCAATACAGTTTAGATGTGTTGTTTCAAAAATAGAAATTGCTTTATTAGCTACTTGTGTAAGCAAATTAGAACTATTTTACCAGCCTTTATCATTTTTACCAAGTTTAATAATTATACAAGCTTTTTGTAAAAATATTAGCAGCAGGTTTAATTTATTGATTTCTTTAAGAGTAATTGTGAGGTGACCACAAGTCTCAGTTAAAAATTCTGAAACTATAAGTGATTTACCTATTTCTTTTTTGCATAGTGGTGGTATACCAAGAAAGGCCCACACTGAAGGATAACTATTATTAGTATAGAATATATACTTATTATGGGTAACAAAAATATGAACTTGTTATTTTTCACTTATTTCAGGATTTATAACTATTTTCATATCTTCACTAACAAATTATGGCATTAAAGTTTCAAGGTTTTTTATTTTTTTAAGAAATACTGTACGATATTGTATAACATCAGAACATTCATGTCTATTATAATAGATATCTTATTAGTGCAGTTGATATATGAGGCCAAGGTGATGAAGCCAGGTTCGAGCTGTTTCTAATAAAATTGATATACAAAAACTAGTAACATGTGATAAGACATTGTTTTAAACATAATACTGAAATTTTCAGCAATTATTCTTTTACCTATAGAACAAATAAAATATAAACAATAACTTTGTACATTCTTATCATTAATAAGAGTTTGTGTGTATTTTTGTTGTTCTTGCCTATATACAGATAAAGTCCCAGTTGTTATCCAACTCTTTGACCATTTACAAATACAACATGCCATTCATAAACCATGTTGAAAAACTTGTTGTGATATTTCAAAACTTAATTTTATATATGATTGAAATTCTTCATAATTATTAAAGATTGCAGTAAGGTATTTATGCACAGTCAAAAGACAAAGATATTCATAAGCATTTATATTTTTTATATCTTTAAGTTTATTATTTAATTTATACAATTGTTTTAAACTAGAACTGTCATTTTTTATATCTAAATCGCTTATATCTGAGTCTAACATCTCATATTCAATTTTTAGCTTTTTTATCAGTTTAAAAAAATTATCCAAACTCATTGATCCTTGTGCTGCCTTCTGTAAGTCTTTATTTATTCATTGTTAAGTATGTTTTGAACTACTAGAATAATATGATAACCAACTATCAGATGCTTTATTATCTCATTTAAGATTATAAAAAGAACTATTTTTATAAATTAATTGTCTAGCCTCCTTATTAAGTTCTGTTTTTTTATTATTAAATTTCTCCTTATTACTGTTCTCAGATTCAAAAACTAAAAGTTCTGGATCACTATATTTTTGATCACTATATTCTGGATCACTATTTTCAGTAACAGTAGATTTTGAAAATTTTTCATCACTATTTCTACTTTGTGTAAGTATATATTCTTTTGCAGCATTTTTAAGTTTTGATTTTGGCATTGTCAAATTTATAAATATAGATTGTAACAAGACAAATATCATGAAAACAAGATAATTAAAAACATTACTTTAGCAAAAAATATAGCTTTATATAAACTTCTACAATATGCTACATCATTACTAAAGTTGATTCATGCTTATTTTTGTTTGAAACTCATAATACCTATTATTAAATTAGCTTTATAAATTTAGGTTAGTTTTTTAAAAAAAGTCTGTATATTGTTAAAATGATAAAAAATGAAAACTTGTAAATAAATTAATGAATTTTACTTTATTGACCCCAAAGAATCTAGACTATTGTTAGATATAATGTTTTTTTCATTAGTTATTGAAACAACTAAGATTGCAAACCATTATTAATGCAAAAATAATTTTTAGTGGCTAATAAGATAAAAGTTCAATAACTGATTTATATATTTCTTTTGCTTATTATGTATGTATCTCCAGATAATATAGCTGCATTGCTATTATATGCCATATATTGAATAATATACAATAAAAAATTATTAAGGTATGAAATATTTGGATGAATTGAAAGTCAATAAATATATATTTTTATACTAAAATAATATTAGTTATATATATATTACAATATAGCAACATTGAGAAGTAAAATCCAAAGTTTTATTATTAAACATTCTTTTATGTTCCTTTATAAAGAATATATTAAATAAACCTGAACTAGTCTGGTTAGTCAATATATTCAAATTTGATTAAATAGTTTTACATTTTTACCTAATATGTATTATTTTTATGTAGTGTTATAGGGGTTGCTAACTCAAACATTAAGCATACTATGCTATGCTGACCAATACAGAGTCAAATAAGGTATATATCTTAGATAATGTGTTCCAAGTGTATTAGTTACAAAAAAAAAGCATTTTCCAATTTTTCTTTATTTATGCTTTACTTATATACTCACTTTGACTATTCCAATTATATCATATTGTAATCATATGTAATTGACTTTTTAATTAAATTCTATAAACCTTATTATGACATTTCTTATGCAACACCATTTACTAATTCATATGTTACTTATTTAACTAATTTATATATTACTGATTTATCATTAATTTATTTCTATATGCCTCAATTTTATGATTTGACCTATGCTGATCATCATATATTTTATTTTAGCATCTATGAATGCTGAAATTGAGAAACATAATTTTCTTAATTTTTTTTTCTTTGAATCAGCAAAAGCTGAAGTTGGTCTTTGTTTATTTAATGTTTATTATATGGTATGTTATTCTGCTACAGTAGTGATAGATCGATCTTCAACAGACTGGGACCAGATGGTAGCGAACTAATGATTTTTAACTTTTAGCCTAAATTATAGTTCTAATCAATACTTAAGTGATATAAATGTATAAATAGCAGTAGAATTTAAAAAATAAAATTGTAACAATGATTACTAATTATTTTTATTATTAAAATTTTCTTTTTTTGAATTCTATCATCATTAATACTTGAATGCTTTCTTATCATCCTCTACAGTATTTATGCTTATACTATAGCAGAAACTAAATATTAAAATTTCTTACCAAAAGAACTGCACTTAGCATTAAACTGACTTTATTAATTAAATTAGCATCACATAAAAAAAATTTACAACAGATATTTAATTTATATATAATTGTGAAAATTTAACTTTTAAATATATTTGTGATAGAGGTGAAACCAAGAAAAAAAATGAATTCTAATTGTTAGAAAATTTTTAAAAAGAACATAAAACTGAATTAACACTATTAATCTTGTCTTATAATCCTTTGCACCAATTTTATATAGATCACATATATGCAATTTATATATATGACACCAATTTTATGTAAATTATATATAGTTATAAGGCATTAATTTTACAAATTACATAGTAAATCATACAAATTTTCTTAATTTTAACTGCTTATAACTTTAATATTTAGATTTTTTAAAAAATTTTAACCAATAAATATGATAAAGTTATTTAAAAATAATAGTTATTATCAGTTACTTTTTTAATAAAATTTTAAATCCTATAGTTATAAGATTTTAAAAATATCAACAAAATTTGATGAAAAGTGACTTGAAGCACCATAAAAATTTTAAATTTTTTTTGTATTATAATTAACTATTTTTCATTATTAGTTAAGATAAAATGCCTATTATCTATATTATATTAGCATAACTAGAAGGTTATATAGTATTCATATAATATATTGTTGTATAAAAGAGCATAAACTGATATTGAATAATGTAAATCTGTAATAAGTTCTTATAATTATATAAATTATAAAAACTAGAAAGATGAAAGTTTATTTAAAAAATTCAAATAAAAAGAAAACTTAAATTTTTTATTTTTTTTTGAAATATCCCTGTTGTCATTACAACTAGAGGCACAGATTATGCTCTTTTATTAAGATATTATAAAAGACTTAGTTACTTTTTAGATATTTACATATTAGTTTAAAAGATTTAGATCTAGTACTAAAAGGGTTGTTTTTTAGAATTCATATTTTCTTTAAAATGTAATTTCTAATAAAAAAGTTTAGAGAGTTAAGAGGTGTATATGAGTTTTTCTATTTTATAGAAGTATAGTGACACTATATTTTATAGATTGCATTAATATGTAACCAGGTTAAAGCTGCTAGAGCCTAAGAACAGATATTGTTAGAGGCTTAAAAGATATCTTCGAGTGAGGATAGTATAAGTATTTCCTCATTAATATTAAGAAAACTGTATATTTTCTTTCAGATAATTATACTATAAAGGCATTCTAAAGCAAAATATTCTATAGTTTGTACTTTATCTGCATACCAAGTACAGTTTCCTGTTTCTAATAGTCTAATGTTTCTTAATTGATAACCAAGTGGGAGTGCTTTGTAAAAAAGACACCAAAAAATATCTTTTTTTTTGTTACAAACAGACTTTAAGAAGAGCCAAGTGGGCTGAGGCATCTGGGAGAAGTTTGTGATATAGTCAATAGGAAAGAGAATTCTTTTAAAAATTCCAAAATTTTTTTAACTAAGAGTTCATCTTCTTTAATTTCTCCAATTTTAATTTTATTACTATTCTAAGGCCAGTTAGAAGTATGTAAGATCTTGCCTTTAATTCTTGCCCAAGCCTTTAAGTAGAGTTTTTATTCTGTAGACCAGACTTTTGTACTTGTATTGTCTGAATTCAAAGCTTGAATAGAAGAAAGATTTCTTCTATTATTGAGTATTGACTATATCTTATTTCTTTCATATGTTGCTCACATGACATTGGATATAAGAAGTCTTATCCAAACTGTTATTAAGTGGACATCTAGTATATCTTTAATAACTAGGGCTTGAAGACCTGCTAACTCTATCAATTGCTAAAAGATTAAGTATCTGGGCAGCATCCGTAATGTACTCTTGATCCAAAGAGTTATAGCTTTATTAATTTCTGCCACCTATTTTCTGTTTGAAGAGAGCAGATATGCTAAATATCAGACTTTAGATAAGATAAGTAACTTTGCGATTAAAATTTTCTTTTTAAAGAAGAGGTTTCTGTTTAGAAGCTTGTCCAGAAATTTCTTTAGCTTGTTAATAATAGTAAACCAAAGATCTTTCTTCAGTTGTCTATTAGTAAGAATGTTTAGCCCAAAATGGTAACATTTTCTTGTTCTTCTAATTTAATAAATTGGTTTTCATTAATAAGTTCTATTCATCTGGCTATAGTTGTAAGAGAAGCTAATTTGGTTTTAGTTCTGTTAAGTTTTGCATTTAAAGCTACCTTATATAGGCTTAGTGCTGTCATAGTTTTGTTCCAGTCTGTAGAAGACCCAATTTCTATTGTTAGATCATCTATATAAGCAGAAGTTCTAAAAAACTGATTTCCTAATTTTATATCTTATAATTGTCTTTCTAGGTTTCTTATAAGAGGCTTGAAAGCTAGTATATAAAGAAGTAATAAAAGAGGATCTTCTTGTCTAACACCTCTTTCTACTCTAAGTGGTTTGGAGATAGCCTCAGTATCTATAATGTGAGCTTCTTGATTAGAGAAAAGATTATACACTAGACTTATAAATTTGTGATTCAAGTTTATGTTCTTTAAAGTTAGTTCTGAAAAGTCATGATTGATATGATCAAATGCTTTTTGTTAATCAATAAAAAGTAGCCAATGTTGTTTAGAAGGATCTACTTGGTTTCTTGAAGTAGTAATAATATCAAGAGCCACATTTGTAATAGATCTGTTTTTGATAAATTCATGTTGATGATGAGGTACTGTAATAGAATCTACGTTTTTCTATATTAGTATATATTTATTTTTAGCTCTATATTATATTTTATAATTTTCCTAATATTTTTATATAGTTTATAGATTATTTTATT